TTTTCTCATCCATGTTTCGACAAAGCTGAAGATCAGATGACGCGTTTTCTTTTTACCAGGTGCCGCGCGCTACCTCTGAGACGGACGCGAAGAGAACAGTGCTGTATATCGTCGTCCTGCAATGACGAGTCCTACTAAGTCATCCAAGTGCGAAAACATACATCACCGTCAGCTTTTCCAACTTTCTTGACGGGTCGTAAAGCCAGCGCCCTTAAGTGGTCGAAAAAGTACGAAGACATTCATGCCGCAGTTACTAAACTTGGCGCACGGCCTTTTATCGCTACTGCTACTTTATGTACGCTTCTGTAATCCATCGTCGGATGACAGCAATATTTCGGGGTGGTCTTCGAAAAAAAATTACGAAAAGAAGGATTGTCAGAGTTGAGTCATCTAGTTTGAAGGCACCCCGGAATGATAAGTCTATAACGTAGCCTTTAGGAGGAACGCCTAAACTGTGGTATGCGGGCTCGGAGGAGACGCAGGGAACCTCGGTCCTGGGACCTCAAAAGGCCTCTTGACGTCACACACAATGCAGGACTGCACCGTTGTCAAAAAATGGGGAAATGTTGTGTTGACCTTTACCTCGCGTATTCTTTGGTAGCGTGGTTTGACGCTCACCCACTCCCTGATCTCCTTTGGGAACGCCTCTTGCAAAGCTCCCTTTCATGTATGGTTTCCTACTTTTTATTGTTTTTTTACATTTTCTATAGGGCTCCATTGTCCTGCCTGTATTTGAAGCTACTTTGTATGGCTGAAAGAATATTAAACATGCATTGTGTGCGTGTAGATGGAACAGTTCGTCAGTGCTCGTTTGCTCAAGGTTGCGTTGTTCGAGACAACTGAAGACATAAACGTCTTTTAGCTTATATTAACGATATTAAAACGGGTGTTTATTTTGGATGTGTTCGGGTGTAACCCGCAAACGCTGTTATAGCAACACTCGGCGAATAACGCACCCCATTGTTTTAGAAGGTCCGCTGTTGTTTGAACACACTGTTCTGGTGTAAGATTACACGCGGCACGCGAATCATCAAGTTTATTCGAAAGTTTACGCGAGCACTAGTGATAATTCTTTCGATCCCCCATGTACAAATGTCGACGGATCTCCCCGCGGATGAGATTGTAGACGGCCGACGCTCTGTTAGCCGCGGTGTACGTACGGCGTCTATTGCTTGCAGTTTCACTTTTCGTTTTCCGGGCACAGATTCACAAGAATAAAAGTTTGCGTGTTAAACCCACTGAATGTTGCCTTCAACGTCACGACCACGTGACAGTATAAAGGCGGGCTATGTGCAACTTAACGCAACGCGCTTTGTCGATCTCGCTCCCGTACCAGCTGAATCGTTCTTCTAATTAATGTCTATGTTGACGTCATCTTGATGTGTCATCGTTTCATATCTTCAACGTGCTATAGAACTCCCATATATGAGCGCCGATTACCATGCATGGTTTCCTGCGGTGAGTGTGAAAACATTCAACACTGACTAATCCTTAAACTTGCCGCATTGCAAGTCGTTGTCCATGTATATCCGATGAAGAGCTGTGTTCCCATTCTTTTGTTAACTTTTCGTCTACAAATCATAAAATCCATTCGCATACTTCTCAGCTGCGGTCGTTCTTCGGTATTCGTCTCAGTGTCCAAGTTCATCCACCGTTAATAGCCACCACTCCCCAGCGGGTTTGACGTAGCTCTCATTCACCGCCCCAGTATTGCCGACTACGGCCGCCAGGGAAAAATCATAGAAAAAGAGACTTTCGCAGAACACATAGACACAGAACACATAGACGCGCTCAAGCTTGTCTCATTTATGAAACTTTCCAATAAAGGCTCCTTCTAGCTGCCCCCTTGATGCTTGGTACTTTTGTTGTAAATATGCGTGACCTCCCAAGAAATGCACTGCCGAGCTTGATTTTTTTTTCCTTTTACACCCTATAGTATGTGCGTTTTAGAGCTGCTTCGCATCTCGGAAAACTCCCATGTGGGCTGTCTATTGCGTTATGTTTCGTGTTAGATGGAACTAGTTGTCCAGTAACCATTTCTCAACATTGAGATATTCATTGATACATGTCGTATAACTTTTGAGTGGTAAGGGCGAGCCCGGATAGCGATAAACCTTTAAAGAGAAAAGCGATAGATCCAGGAGGCCAACGTGCCGCTATACAGCTGGAGCCCGGCGTTCAAACCATTCCTTTCCCTGAGGGATCCTAACCGGTGCCATGGAAGCGGGCTCCATACTCGCGCGAAGCTTAGCCCTAGCGTCGCCGGCAAATGCACAGAAACGTCCCATGGGTCAATCTGCACGGAGTAAAAAAAAAAGCTGCGACAATAGGGGGGGGGGGGGGGGGGGGGAGCAGATCTGAACGGGCACCGTATACATGGAGCAAGGGCGGGTGGAAGGCAGGTGCTGTGGTAGCATGCGAAACAATTTGCGCCTTCGTATATAAACACAGCTGCGGGGGCCCGGCGCAGGACGAATAACTCTTGTTATTTCCCTACGGTTGTTTCTCGAAACCCATTCGCGCTCAGGTTTGAGTGAAAACCAAATAAAGAGACGGGGCACTTTGCAGCGGGGACGCGGGCAGAAAGGGACCCGAAAAATAAGTATCAGGATGAGAGAGAAGCGATGTGTTCGCTGCGTAGGTGACAAAGCTAAGCAATGCAGCAATAGCCCGATCACTTCGTGAGAGCCGGAGAAAGAGAGAGAGAGAAACGAAAATAAGTTTCTTGTGTCGCACATCCCGGCGTTCGCACCGCTCGACGCGGAGAACGGGAAAGGATTAGGCCTATACACCGGTGCGCGCTGCCCGAAAATGCCATCATTAGGCCGGCGTGCACTTCGTTAGCGGCAACGCACCGGTGCCTTGTTGACGCTTCTTCGTTCGCCGGTAAGGGAATTGCGCTAATTTACTCGATTCGCGAGCGAGTTGTCCGGCGAAACGCGGGCGCTACGCGGAGCCATTCATTTCGCCCGAAGAATGCGTTGGCGATTGGGAAGCAGCAGCAGAAGAAGCTGGGCGTATAAGCTCCGGTAAAGAGCGCCCGCGTGGGCGAAGTCGGGAGTGAGGTGCACGAACAGAAAGTGGAAAGAAGAGACGAAGAGGAAGAGTTGTCTCGTTCGGGAGGAATGCTCGGCGCGGGCGGCACTCTGGAACGTTAATAATCGTCGTCGCACCGGGAAGGGACCACCACGACTGTAAACCCAGCGTTGTTGGAAGAGGTGCGAGAGACAAAAAGGAACGGAGCGCAAGAACGCGGCACGCCGAAACCCCACGCAACTCGGTGCGAGGGTCCGTGGTAATTAAGTGATGTCTGATTCATCTGTCGGGTGACGTGGATATAACTGAGCTATGGAGAACGGGGAGCAAAAGGGGGATAGCGATGTGGTGACTTATGGAAAACGCTCGTGCGACGCGGATATATGAGTGCAAGTTGGTGCATTGGAGGGGTCTCGAAGTCGTGAAAAGGTATTAGGCCTAGTGTGGGGGGGGGGGGAGGGAGGGGGGGGATGAGATCTAAGCTTCGGGGTATAATCGCATGACTGTTGAACTTTGCGTCCTACTCCGCATCACAGTTTTAGACTAGCTGTACTTTGCCTATCAATAAACAAGGGCATGCGCATATGCTTAGGTTATATCTATACTTCTTAATGCAGAGTAGGAGCTAGAGAAATAAGGTAGGGGATGCAACAGAACCTATGTCTGGTATACCCTGCACGTATATAAAAAGGGTCATTATGAACACGTAACCAACAGAATCGCATCTGTTACGCTATCAGGGGAGTGTTCGGTTGACTGTATACCTTCACTAGTGAATCCTCGTCCTCTGTCTGAAACTAAAGGCATGAGTCATGCTATGTGCAGGCAACCAATTTTACTGCGCGCATCGGCGCCTGGGGTTGCTCGGCGGAAGTCAGCCGCAGTAACGGTGAAGTCTAGACTGGCGCCGCGCGTGACAAAAAAAGGGCGCCGTGATACAGAGCCAGTGTGGTCCTATTTCGGGTGCTCGTCGCGACAGACTGCACAGTCTGGCGTGCAGCGACGTGTCGAGACGGGAAAGGAGAAAAAAAAAAGATGCGAAGGACATTTCCGCCTGTAGTACGAGCACTTTGTTCAACGCCGTGACTGCCCGTGATGAAATCGCCTGGCGTGTACAAGCCAATTAAAACGTGTTTAAATAATTCCATCGTCGAGGGTTAAAGCTGGATTCATAGCTAATCCTGGCTTTATCTCACTCACTCACACACACACACACACACACACACACACACACACACACACACACACACACACACGCACACACACACACACACACGCACACACGCACACACACACACGCACACATGCACACACACACACACACACACACACACACACACACACACACACACACACACACTTAGATCCCTGGCGATGCCCCTCGTTACGTGGTGAACCAAGCCAACCAATCCTAATGGTGCTCCGCCTTGAAAAACCCCGACGACGTGTATCAGATGTGAGCCCTTCAGAGAGTCCACGATGCAGCGCTTAGGCTTAAACCCACAACCAACAAAGTTTTACCAACCAATTAATTGAGAGTGTCCCGATACCCTTCCCCTAATTTGTAATCGTGTAAAAAGTTCGTGTGCTCCTGTTTTTGTGGTGTCCTTACTTGTTTGTAATTGGGGTAAACGCCCTAATCAGGTGACTCTTTCCAGCGGCTTGTGCTGTGAGATGCTTCCTCCCGCATTTCTGTCGATTTTCGTTATCCACTTTTTGAGAGACCAACCAGGCTGATAATCTTTCTAAACCCTGAACATTTCACCCCGTATCTTCTTTTTCCTTTTACCACAGTATTTTATATCCTTGGCTTGGGGAGGTTGTTGAACAGCACTTCCCCTCACTCACTCAACGGTGTACTACCCGTTATCTACGTTTTCTCTTCCGCAGAGAGCCCACGTATTGCTCAACTACGAAGCGCTACACGAATTTGGTCCTTACGTGTTTTCTATTCCTCTTCGCAGGAGCTCAGCCCCGGCCATCGTGTTTTTATGAAGTGGCAGTCTGCTAGCTACGCACGAAACTTGGTAAGCTTCTTGCAGCGTATACCTCGACGTTTCGCCACTCACAAAGCTGAATTTGATTTTGAGCCGCGTTGTCGGTTACACGTCGCGTGCTCCTTAATTTTCGAATCACACGTCCACGGACGAAGTGTAGTTGCGCTGTAGACAGAAATTATTTTCGGAAAGTCCGGGGTAGGGGGAGGCCAAACACCATGTATTTCAATAGGTTAGTGAACTGGGTGATTTGATGAACGTTTGTTTTAACGTAAATTGCGAAAGCACACAAACCAAGTGCTCCTCCCGTTTTCATCTTGCTCTGAAAAGTGGTTGTGGTGTACTCGTGGGTGATGAAACAGTGGCCATTCCTCCACTGGAGATATAATAAATGTGTCTAGACCTCTCGCAGTGTAGCCGTCCTATGATAGTAAGTAAATCACTTTGTCATCGGGTGAAAAAATCATAACCGCTTCGTGCACGAAGTGCGGGATTGGGCTAGTCGGTAATCCATTAATAAACATCTCAGCGCGAGAACTTCCCGACAGCGAACACAATAGACGAGGACGAGAGCAGACTTTTTTTGTAACATTGATATGTGCGTAGTAGTAGTAATAAATTAGTTGAAAGTCTGGGCTCGTCCTCGTCTCTTGTGTTAGTTGTCGGGAAGTTCTCGCCCTGAGAAGTTTAATAGTCGTGCACGAAATCAAGAAATCTCTCTTTGATTTCGCCGCTGTGAAATCGCGCGCTGAGCTTTATATGTGGGGTGCTGTATACAGGTGGCATTGATTAGGACGCCTTCGTTTCAGCTTCTTCATCTATATACACCGATAGCAAAAGAGGGACGCGCTAACTTAAGTGGTTTCAAAGAAAAAAAAATCTATCACTCCTTGCCGCTGTGCCACTCACTCGCGTTAGCAGTATTTACGCTTCAGGACAGGATAGAGTGCCCGTGGCCGATTTTTGTTTTTCTTTCGTTATAACCTCCCTATAGTGTAAAAGCGAAAGCTCGTCAGTTTGCCTTTTTTTTTTGTGGGTCTAGCTTGGCGCTGTCGTGCCAATTATTTGCGAACTCTTTCACGTCAAATGTCGGGCTGAATATGTGAACGTTCTCGATAAACCACATAGAAGGGTTTAGGAAACGCAGAGAAAGAAAGTAAGGTTGAAAAAGTGGGATTTTTTTGTATTTTTGTAATATTTACGATTGTTGGAATCTGCTATGCATAGTTTATTATTATTATTATTATTATTATTATTATTATTATTATTATTATTATTATTATTATTATTATTATTATTATTATTATTATTATTATTATTATTATTATTGTTGTAATGAATATGTACGAGATAACATTGTTCTTTATTGTTTTATACGACTTCATTTTTCAATATGTTTTTGGTATTATTTTGAAGTATTCATATCAGTCAACCAATAAAAACGCCCAATGATTACAAATTTGTTCACACCATAAAAATACTGATTCACCGAATATTTTTTTTCTTTGTATTCTTCAAGGAAGTTTCATGCTGAGGAACTGCGTGTGAATAAATAGGTCCACAAATAAATATCAGCATGATATCAGCTTGTCCCGGATATTTACGTTATGGCGAGAGAATGAAAACAAAAAGAGGTAAATGATTAGCGAGAAGGTGAAAAAGGGAGAGAGCAGGCTGTAGGGGCATAACGACTGGTTACGCCTACGGGAGGAGGAAAGAGATAGAGGGTAGCGCGAAAATACGGCACGAAAGCTAGCATGGCATGCATGGCTGCGACACTGCAAACAAACCGAATAGTCTAACAGCGTAAATAAATAAATAAATAAATAAATAAATAAATAAATAAATAAATAAATAAGACAGAACATCTACATAGAAAATAGGGCTCTAGAGCATGTCCCTGCAGCATTAACGGTGCCGCCAAACTGCCTCGACGTAGCAGTCGATTCGCTGCTTCTAAGCAAAACCCAGAGCACAGCTCGCGCGTTGCGGAAACTTTGATTTTTGCCGGGACACGTGCTGCGCTGTGTGTACGAGAAAACTCACCGGGGAGCGTGACGGTGCCTCCTTATTTACCTTCCATCACGCCGCTCTTGTACGCACAGCGAGCCTCGCCGCTCGGGTCGCGTACGCAAAGCGTGCAAACGTTCGCTGGCGCCTGTGTTGCGGCGTGCGTGTCTCGTATTGACAGCAGGCATTGCGCCCGTAGGAAACCGTGCATGCGGAGTGTGTAATCGAAACATCCATCCACTCGTCACCGCTTTCGTATGCAGTAACACTCCGAGGGGAAGCACACATCTGAAAGGTCCGCTATGGGGTAATTTTCCGGGTATTAACACGGAATGTCTCTCTCTCTCTCTCTCTCTCTCTCTCTGTGTGTGTGTGTGTGTGTGTGTGTGTGTGTGCGTGTGTGTGTGTGTGTGTGTGCGTGCGTGCGTGCGTGCGTGCGAGTGTTGCGAAGCGGATGACGCACCTGCATATAAAAGACAACGCGCCTCCCTGTCTTGTATCCTTCTTTCTGTCTCGAAACCATACCTATAATGGTCGTTCGCCTACGGGTCCGAATGTACACCACTCTGGTGTGTGGGGCACCGTTGATCATTACTTCATGAGTGCGGGAGCGAGGACTTCCGGCCATGAAGCCGGTGACGAAGCGATGAGACGCGGTGATATGCCCGCGGAGTGCGCGCGGAATGCGATGGATGTTCTGGCCCTTTCTGGAGCGAAAGAGCGACGCGTGTGGCTCCAGCGGTGGACCATGCACCCTTACGCTGTTTCCTAAATGGAGGGAGTTGTAGTCGCAACGGTCCATTATGGGAATGAACGTGCACTTGTCCTGCCTTTGTGCTTATGGTTCGGAGACTACCTGCAGGCTTTTTGCAATACTTTACTTGCACACCTAAACTTTCAAGAATTTTGTTTTCGAAATCACAATTATAACAACACACTGCGAACAAGCTAAGCTCGCTCGTTGTGGAATACAACACGCACCCCTTGGCGGCGCTGAAACAGGTCTGGGAGGCTAACTCTGTGCGCCGCCAGTAGTGCAGGAGCTTCGGCAATACGTCGCAAAAGCTGTGTTTTGATCGCCATCTACATTTGTCGCGCCATATTTCGTCAGGTTCATTCCTGGAACTAGCGGCAATCCAGAACAAAGAAGCCGAGAGGTACTGTTTTGTTATTTATTCTGGCATGTTTTTCGCTTTGTTCCGGGCTACCCTGCCAGTAAATACTCAATTGCTCTAATGTCAATCCTTCCGAAACTCCACGTACCGCACGTCCATCCTCGCAGAAATGTCATTGTTCGCGGTTCACTCGAGGTCAAAGAAGGAAACATCTCCCTGGGCTGACGCATAGACAATATCTCTTGTAGAAACTCCAGTAATGTTCTCCGTGCCTGCGACGGTCGAGGCAGCCGCTGCCCTTTTGGCCGGATGGCTCCGAGAAGAGGCGAGCGCGTTGCCTTGCAAGGCAAGATTGTTGCCAGAAATAATCCACGCGCGCCGTGCACGCTTTTCTGGGGCGAATGTCAACAAAGAGCCCAACGAGCGCCTCCCAACTCGCAGAGAGACACGGGCTGCAGGCTTGAGGTGGAAGAAGGGTGGGGGGTGAAAAGCGCAAGTCACTCACGAAAGTGCATAAAGGTGCCTCGGTGCTCCTTGTTTGTTTTAAATGCTTGTATCGTAAGTTTTTGCGTGGCCTGTACTTTATTGAAGAGCACTCTGTTGTTCTCCATGCAATCTAGCCTTACTCTATTTTTCACTATTCTCAGCGACCAAAGTTCACTTGAACGTAGAGTGAGTTAGTTATTCGGCGCTGAACTTGCAGTGAACTTAGATTGAACTGTTGTTTAGAGGGAATAGTGAACTTCAGTGTAAACTGACCTTTTTGCTTACTGATGCGGACGCCCATGGAATGTTTGTTTTCGGGTATGAGAAAAGGCTCCTTCGAAACAGAAATAGCTTGTTTACACACTTGTATCTTAAGAACGTTCTGTGTTCAGAATATGCATGTTGTGTTTCCACTGAACTTTTCTCTTTTAGATGCGGAGCATCTTATACTCGCGCCTTGTAGTGCGCCGTCCGCACCGCTTCTCGAACATTCGACAGCTGACGCGCGCGCATGCGCCGTCGCGCCGTCGCGCACTCTTCCACCATCTGTGCATCCCTTCCTCCTCTACACACCGCGCGCGCTTCACTCCTCCACCATCTGTGCACCCTTCCTCCTCTACACACCGCGTTCGACATCTACAATTCTCCTGATTCTCCAGTGGACGCGCATGTGGCGTCGCGCTTCGAGAACATTCAACAGCTGACAGTGCATGCGCCGTCGTGCTGTATATATACTCAAGGTCGGCGCTCGCTCGCTCAGTTGCCGCTCGTCGGTTGGTTTGTACGGCGCGTCGACGTCCAAGGTCGCGGTGAAATGAATTCCAACGAATCCACAAACACAATGATCGACGTCCCTTCGACCAGCGCCGCCCTTTCGCATACGTGTGTACGTGTTCACTCATTTAACACCCCCTCCTACAACCACGTTAACCAATTTAGCCATCGACCCAAGTAAGTCGCAATTTAACATCCCATTTCACAACCACGTTAACCAATTTAGCCATCGACCCAAGTAAGTCGCACTTTAACACCCCGTTAACCAATTATATTTTTTTTTATTTTTATTTATTGCATACTGCCAGCCACCTCTTGGTGGCCAAGGCAGGAGTGATACAAACTTTCATACTTGCAGTCACTTATAACACTATTCTTCACGGCGCAGAAATAAAATCACCACATAACAGGTTTGCGTGGAACATGAATACTCGGGTTACAGGAGCAACACAAGAGCGGTATCAAAAATACAATCCAAATTTTGTTCCTAACACGAAGTGAAAAAACATCATAAAAAGAATTGAAATCTGCACATACGACCAGACAGCTTTTACTACAGACAGGCAGTGGCAGCTGATAAGAATGCGTCGGGCGCTGCGATGCTGGTGACGTCATGAGGTAGTTCATTCCAGTCGGAAATTGTTC